ATCACTTTTGTATCCAGCTGCCTTTGGTTTGTGGAAGCTATTATTTTTCAGAGTATTTGAATATTCCTTATGATTGGGAAAGAATGCCAAGATGGTATGTAAATTAAAATTGGATTTTTATACTCAATCATAGTGTATTACCCAATTACAATATAACCAGTAACCAATTGGTTATTACAATAGCAATAACAGTAAATCATTACCACTTGCCATCAGGTTGACCCACCTCATGGTGACTCTCGTGTGCGTCAGAGTAGAATTGTGCTCTAGGGAGTTTTCAGAGGCTAATTTTTCAGAAGTAGATTGCCAGGCCCTTTTTCTAGAGACCATCTCAAGAATAGCTTTGACGCATTGAACACTAATGACCTGAAGACCAGACAAGTTATGGAATGACATCGAAGACATCATACATGAAGAAAGCAGGAGGTCATTAAAAAGACAGGAAAGAAAGAAAAGAGCAACATGGATGTCAGAAGAGACTCTGAAACTTGCTCTTGAACATCGAGTAGCTAAAGTAAACAGAAGAAACGATGAAGTAAAAGCTGAATAGAAGATTTCAAAGGGTGGCTCGAGAAGACAAAGAATTATAATGACATGTGCAAAGACCTGGAGTTAGAAAACCAAAAGGGAAGAACACACTCAGCATTTCTTAAGCTGAAAGAACTGAAGAAAAAATTCAGCCTTCAAGTTGCAATACTGAAGGATTCTCATGGCAAAATACTGAACAATGCAGAAAGTATCAAAAGAAGATGGAAGAAATCCAGTCATCGTACCAAAAAGAATTGGTTGATGTTCAGTCATTTCAGCAGGTAACATACGATCAAGAACCAGTGGTACTGAAGGAAGAAGTCCAAACTGCACTGAGAACTTTGGTAAAAAACAAGGCTTCAGGAATTGATGAAATTCCAATTGAGATGCTTCAACAAACGGATGCAGTGCTGGAAGTGCTCATTCCTCTATACCAAGAAATTTGGAAGACAGCTACCTGGCCAACCAACAGGAGACATCCGTGTTCATGCCTATTCCAAAGACTGGTGATCCAACAGAAAGTGGAAATTATTGAACAATATCATAAATATCACATGCAAGTAAAATTTTGCTAAAGATCATTCAAAAGGAATTGCAGCAGTACATCAAAAGGGAACTGTCAGAAATTCAAGCTAGATTTAGAGGAAGACATGGAACAAGGGTTTTCATTGCTGATGTCAGATGGATACTGACTGAAAGCAGAGAATACCAGAAAGATATTTACCTGTGTTTTATTTACTATGTGAAGACATTCGATTGTGTGGATCATAACAAATTATGGCTAACATTTTGAAGAATGGGAATTCCAGAACACTTAATC